TTCATATGGAAGCACAAAAGACCTCGGATAGCCAAAACAACCCTGAGCACTAACAACAATGCCGGGGGGGAGGGGGTTACTATACCAGATTTTAAGGTGTATTACAGAGCTATAGTCATAAAAACGACATGGTACTGGCACAAAAATAGACCCATAGATCAATGGAACAAAATTGAAGACCCAAATATGAGTCAGCCACTTGATATTTGACAAAGGGGCCAAGAACATTCACTGGAGGAAATACAGCTTGTTCAGGAAATGGTGCTGGCAAAACTGGATCTCCATTGTAGAGGAATGAAACTAAACCCCTATCTTTCACACTGCACAAAAGTCAATTCCAAATGGTGCAAAGACTTCCATGTAAAGCCTGAAACTCTGAAACTATTAGAAGAAAACATTGGGAAAAACCTACAAGATATAGGTGTAAGAAAGGATTTTCTAGACAGGACATCATTGGCTCAGGAAACAAGTGCAAGAATTAACAAATGGGACCTCATTTATCTAAAATGCTTCTGTACATCAAAGGAGGCAACCAGGGATGCGACCAGAAAACCCACAGAATGGGAGAAAATCTTCACCAGCGACACATCTGACAGAAGTTTAATATCCAGAATATGTAACGAACTGAAAAAACAGAGACTCAAGACAAGAAATAACCCAATTGAAAGATGGGCTAAGGAGCTGAACAGAGAGTTCTCAAAAGAAGAAGTAAAGATGGCTATGAAACATCATAAAAAATGTTGAACATCACTAATAATTAGGGAAATGCAAATCCAAACCACTTTAAGATTTCATCTTACCCCAGTCAGACTGGCTAAGATCAAGGGAACAAATGATATCAAATGTTGGAGAGGATGTGGGGAAAGGGGAACAGTCATCCACTGCTGGTGGGATTGCAAACTTGTTCAACCCCTGTGAATTGTCATATGATCCGGTTATACCACTCCTTGGCATGTACCCATATACTCATCCTACTGCAGAGATACTTACACAATCATGCTTGTTGCTGCTCTTTTCACAGCAACTAAGAAATGGAAACAACCTAAATATCCCTCAGCTGCCAAATGGATAATGAAAAGGTGGCTCAATTTACACAATAGAGTTCTGCTCAGCCATTAAGAAAGATGAAATCATAAAATTTGCAGGTAAATGGATGGAAGAAGAAACTGCTATACTAAGTGAAGTAAGAAAGACTCAGAAAAACAAATGATGTATGTTCTCCCTCATTTGTGGATCTTAGCACCAAATCCTTACATATAAGTGAGTATGTATCCAAACATTACTCCAGGAACCAGGATAATGGAAAGGAAACAGGGAGGTAAAGGAAGAGGAAGAACCTGAAAGAGAAGAACAGTAGGAAACAGGCCTTAATAATGGAAATATGGATAAAAATTGGGTTAGTTTAAGGGAGGGGGGAGGGAAGGGTATACAGGTAACCTAGGGGGTAAAGGGAAAGAAGGAGCTCAAGAGTGGTAGGACCTTAAGAGAAGGGTATTATTAAGGGAGAAAGGGGGGAAATGGGGGCACCTTAAGTGGGAAAACCACTATGGAGGGGTGGTGAGACAATGCGAAAGGTAAACAATGCCTAGCTACTTTTGAAAACCAGAGGGAACCATATTACTCCAACAACCTACTAACAAATTATACATAGCAGATCAAGAAATATATGTCTAGGTAAGGTTTATCTGAGAACAATTGTTCTTTGCCCAAGATTTATCTACATGACACAGTAATTAAAAGTACCAGACTGGTGGAACTAACCTTCTTGGATGTTTAACAGATATA